TTTTTCCCACCTGTCCTCCTCAGCCCCGTGCTGGAGGTTGTAGAGGAGGGAGGGGACGATTTTGTCCATGTGCTGCGGATCCCAAATGTTGGCCTGGAGCTCATCGTTCACCGTCTTCCGCACCACGCCCTGGAGACCCTTGATCCCCGACATACGGATCCTGGGAAAATCCCAAAAATCCCAAAATTCCATAAATCCAGACCCCAAAAATCCCAAAAATCCCTGGAATTCCAGACCCCCAAAATAAAAAAAAACAGAATTCCAGACACCAAAAATCCCCAAAATTCCAAAAATCCAGACCCCGCACCACGCCCTGGAGGCCCTTGATCCCCGACATATGGATCCTGGGAAAATCCCAAAATTCCAAAAATCCCAGAATTCCAGACCCCGCACCACCCCCTGCAGGCCCTTGATCCCCGACATACGGATCCTGGGAAAATCCCAAAATTCCATAAATCCCAAAAATCCCCAAAATCCCAAACATCCAGACCCTCAAAATCCCAAAAAACCCGGATTTCCAGACACAAAAAATCCCAAAAATCCCGGAATTCCAGACCCCAAACCACGCCCTGCAGGCCCTTGATCCCCGACATATGGATCCTGCGGGAAAAATCCCAAAATTCCCAAAAAACTCAGAATTTGAGGCCCCAAAAATCCCCAAAATCCAAAAAACCACAGAATTCCAGACATCAAAATTTTAAAAAAATCCAAAAATCCCAAAAAACCTGGAATTCCGGACACCATAAATCCCAAAAATCCCCAAAATCCAGACCCCGCACCACGCCCTGCAGCCCCTTGATCCCCGACATATGGATCCTGTGGGAAAAATCCCAAAATTCCAAAAATACCATAAATCCTGACCCCAAAAATCCAGATCCAAAGTCCCAAAAATCCCCCAAATCCCAAAAATCCCGGAATTCCAGAACCCGCACCACGCCCTGCAGGCCCTTGATCCCCGACACACAGGTCCTGCGGGAAAAATCCCAAAATTCCCCAAAATTCCAAAAATCAAAAAAATCCTGGAATTCCAGAAATCCAAACACCAAAAATCCTGGAATTCCAGACACCAAAAATCCCAAAATCCCGGAATTCCAGACCCCAAAACCCGGAATTCCAGACCCTGATCCACACCCTGCAGCCCTTGATCCCCGGCACACGGATCCTGCCTC